AATCTGCAATTCTGTGCAGGAAAGATGTTGAATCTATTTAAATATTTTGAAAAAATAATTGATTTCTGTGCATTTGTTTTACACATGCGTTGAATTAAAGTAGATTATATTGATTAAGCATATAAGGCAGAGGGTGGGGGGTGGTTCCCTATTTTTCTTTTTGTTTCTTTTTTTTTGCTGGGAGTTTGCAACCCCATTACGTTGTTTAATATTTCTGCTAAGTACTCTTTAAAATACCAGAATAGGGAGGATGATGTAGGTTTAAGTGTATTAGATTGATTGGTATTGCTAAACTATGAAATATTTTGTGCAGTGTATTTTTTGCATACAGGTATAACAGAATAGCTTTAGTGTTTTGTTTTTTAAAACTTGAGGTCGTCATTCTTTGCGGTATGTGGGCCATGTGTAAGCACATTGTGTGGGCCAGATCTGGACCATACCAATTTTGCTATGTGGGTTTGAGGAGTCTTATCTCCAGTTGAACATACAGTGGCTTGGAAAAGTATTCGGCCCCCTTGAACTTTTCCGCATTTGGTCAGATTACAGCCACAAACATGAATCAATTTTATTGGAATTCCATGTGAAAGGCCAATACAAAGTGGTGTACACATGAGAAGTGGAACGAAAATCATACATGATTCCAAACATTTTTTTTACAAATAAATACCTGAAAAGTGCGGTGTGTGTAATTATTCAGCCCCTTGAGTCAATACTTTGTAGAACCACCTGCAATTACAGCTGCCAGTCTTTTAGGGTATGTCTCTACCAGCTTTGCACATCTAGAGACTGAGATCCTTGCCCATTCTTCTTTGCAAAACAGCTCCAGCTCAGTCAGATTAGATGGACAGCGTTTGTGAACAGCAGTTTTCAGATCTTGCCACAGATTCTCGATTGGATTTAGATCTGGACTTCGACTGGGCCATTCTAACACATGGATATGTTTTGATTTAAACCGTTCCATTGTTGCCCTGGCTTTATGTTTAGGATCATTGTCCTGCTGGAAGGTGAACCTCCCAGTCTCAAGTCTTTTGCAGACTCCAAGAGGTTTTCTTCCAAGATTGCCCTGTATTTGGCTCCATCCATCTTCCCATCAACTCTGACCAGCTTCCCTGTCCCTGCTGAAGAGAAGCACCCCCAGAGCATGATGCTGCCACCACCATATTTGACAGTGGAGATTATGTGTTCAGAGTGATGTGCAGTGTTAGTTTTCCGCTAAACATAGCGTTTTGCATTGTGGCCAAAAAGTTCAATTTTGGTCTTGAACAGTGCTCCGTGGGATGTTCAAGGCTTGGGAAATCTTTTTGTAGCCTATGCCTGCTTGGGCCATGTGTAAGTTGTGTGCAGCCACGGGCCAGTTGCAGACACACTGCTGGCCCTGTGCTGGCCCAGAACAGTTTCAGTTCTGGCCCCAGATGTCAGCCTAATGTGTACCTTAATTAAGCCATGTAATAACAACATGTGCATAATAGTGCAAAAGTAACATGACAAAACTCTGTTCGGACAGTGAATGGACTGATTCTTAAATAGCATTTTTAAACTCGCCCAGATTACTCAAAGTGCTCTATACAACATTCCCCCAACCACACACTTTCTCTTAACTGAGTGCTTCCTAACTACATTCATACACACTCACACTCACGACATGCAGACTGGAGAAGCCAGGGATTGAACCACTAACCTTCCGATCAGTAGGTGACCTGCTCCGGCCTGGGCCACATAAACCAAACCATAATTAGGCCAGATATGGCATGCCATAAACAGTGGCGTCATTGCCAGACCTGGCACACATCTGGTTGACATACAACCTGCCATGACACCAGTTAGTCAGAAGTGCCAGCTTAATGCCAGATCCCGGCCAGGCCTGTCTTCTATGAGCCTGGGCCACATAAACCAAACCACAATCGAGCCAGATGTGGCATGCCATCACATAGACAGTGCCATCTATGCCAGGCCTGGCCCATATCTGGATGAGATACATCTTATCATGCCAGAAGTCAGCCAGCAGTGCCGGCTTGATACCAGATCCGGGCCGGACCTGCTTGCTATGTGGTTGGTATTTGGGAAGTTTAAAATGTTGTGTTTCTCAAGCAGCTTCTGAGTAGTGTTTGGTGGTAACAACTGGTTTGGAAGGCTGCTGTCACTGGGTTGTATCCAGGATGCCAGTGATGTACAGTGTTGGGGAGTAACGGAATACATGTACCGCCGTTACGTATTTAAAATACAAAATATGACTTCCGGTGACGCCATGTTAGACTAAGCAGCAAAAGGTCTGCCACACAAGGCAAGAAATAAGTGACAATTGAAGTTACAAGACAACCAAATAACCAGGTAAATAGAAAACCTATACAAGATGACTATGAACAAAAAACAAAGAACGTTGAACAAAGATAGCTGGAAGGAAAAAGAAGATAAACAGAGACCTCCCAGCCCAGCTAGCTTAAACACAGCTAACGATAGCCAAGGACAACCAGACCTAATGCTACTGGAAGAACTGAAAAAGCTATGTAAAGAGAATCAAGAGGGACAAAATTACACAAAGATGTCACTCGAAAGACGGGAGCAAACGGTCACAGAAATTAGAGACCACATCGCTAAACATGAAAAGCGAATTCAGACAAATGGAGGAAAGAATTAGCAACAGAAGACATGTTTATGCGACACCAGAGGGCGCTGATATACCTGATCCACCAAGACCTGGACCTCTCCGCTAAATGCGATGATTTGCAAAACAGACTAAGACGCAGCAATATAAGGATTTTTCAGATCCGTGAGGGAAGCGAAGGAAACGATATGATTGGATTTATCAGTGAGCTTAAGACTGAGAGGGCACATCTCTGACTTGGCCCCCGATCCACAGACCCTGTGACACCTCCTAGATCGATAATAGTGAGATTCCTAGACGCAGGAGTAAAAGACAAGATCATACAGCAAGCATGGAGCCAGAAGCAAGTCTTTTTTCAAGACAAGCAGATCTTTCTTGACCAAGACTATTTGCCTGACCTACAGAAGAAGAGGGTGGTCATGCTTAGGATTAATATGAGTAGACTACACTTACTAGGACCCCTTATACAAAATTGTGTAATATTGGTTATTTGAGCATTAAGCACTTTTCCCACAGAGAAGGAGGGTCACACTTCTCTGCCGCAAACCAAAAAGGGGGTTGCTCACAATGCGGACGACTGGAAGGATGGAAGTCTTGTTCTTTTTTAGTGATAAATTTCTTTCTCTCTGACATATGTTATAGACCTGAGTTCACACTGTATAAGAATTTTTTTTACTTATGTATTAATCACATTATTTTATTGTTCTAGCATTTCTCACACTCATACAGTAAGACAAATGGTGGGGATCTAGTAAGGAAGCAGACGACTCCACAGGACCAGGGTCTTTTGTCTCTTCGAGGACTCTGGGAGGTAGCAAGGGAGTGTGAACCTTAAGGTGTGAAACAGCTGTGTACTGCCTTTTGTTCCTGGAGAAGGTATTTAACTGAGAGCCATGCTAGGCTCAGGGAGACTCTGCTGACCGTCTGCCCCGCGGTCATGCAGGCTCTCCACCAAGCCTGGTTGTCTGTTCTTTGTGTGTTTTGATTAAAGAATGTTAGCTACCACTCACCGCTCGTCTGCAAGCTTTATTTAATGGAAAACTTCCACAACAACACTTTCTCTTACATTCAATTGTGTTTTAAGCAATAATTTAGATAGATTACCAGCAATAACAAGACCCCAGTCGAAAATGTCTAGAGGTGTCTCAGGCATCATCGCCGAACTGGGACCAGTAGATGTGTGGAGATATCAACATCCTATGGATAAAGATTTCACATTTATGTCCTAAGTGTGTGGAAGCCACACAAGAACAGATTTTTTTCTGTATGTCAAAAAAGAGACAATAATTCAATCAATTACTATATCTGACCGTAGCCCAGTTACTAGTGAAAATTGATATGGGAATGTTTGATTATTTTAAACACTGGAGACTGAACGTCTCATTATTACCAAACCCACAGGTCAAACAGGAAGTACAGTCTGCTCTATCTGAATACTTTGCTATAATGCTATGGGTGATCGTTGCTCAAGAGTTGGCAGTTCGTCTTGTAATCGGAATGTTGCCAGTTCGAGCTCGGGCTCCGACTTTCTCGGCCATTGTGTCTTTGGGCAAGACACTTCGCCCGTTGCGAAGTGGTGGTGGTCAGAGGGCCCAGTGGCGCCAGTGTCCAACAGCCTTGCCTCTGTCAGTGCACCCTTGCCATCACCAGTGTGTGAATGCGTGGATGACTGAATGTGTAAAGTGCTTTGGGTTCCTTAATTCCTAGTAAAGCACTATACAAATACAGGCCATTTATCACTGCACTTAAGTTTCACTAAAATCTGAGCAATTCCTACTTTAGGAGGAGAGGCCATTCTTGTGAAATGTGAACACAAGGTGGCCCAAAAACCTCAGGGGAAAACCTTGATATTTCAGTGATTTTGATGTTGTGGCTGTCAGGTGCCTGTATTTTTACTTCTCTGATTGCCAAATAAAGAAAATGGAATTTTGAAAGCCTGTAAGTGACTTTTGTGGTTACTAGGGATGCAACAATACTATTTTTTTCATATACTTGGATCTGAGTACTTGCCGATACATAGTAAAAAACGATACTTCTACCACACACACACACACAGAAAAATGCAATGAATTGGAAGATAGATTTTATTTTATTCTCTGTTGATAAAAAATAAAATATTAATAGAAATGGCCACAAAAATAAAATTTCAAGTGAAAAATAAACACTTCTGTTCAATTATTGCAGTGTCCACATTGTAAACAAACAAACAAAATAACTAAAGTATTTTTGCAGTCTCCAGCTTTCAGAGAGACATAACATTAATTAACCTATTGCAGAGTATCCAAATTGTAGTGAAAAAAAATAACTGAACCCTTTGGGTCTCTTTCCCGCTTTCAGGTTGAAAAATAAACACTTCTGTTCAGAATAAAATAAACACTTTTGTTAAATTATTGCAGAATGTCCATATTATATCCAAACAAAATAACAGTGAACTATTTTGCGTGACACTGAGCTGAACAGCCTTTCACTATCAACACTTGTGCATAGTGCTGAAAGGTATCTGTCCGCCACTTTAGCCAGGTTCGGGAACTGCACTTTATTAATCATCCAGTATTGTAGTGGTTTGTCTTCTCGTAAAATTGTGGCCTCTCCAAGATATGTTTCTAACTCTACACTAGAACCTACCGCAGCTTTGCCCACCGATGCTGATGCCTGCTCATCTGTAATTTCTTCAAACATGCTGTCCAGACTAGTTGTGGGCTGGTCACTGCGTGCTTTTCTTGAAGGTGGGTCATTCAGGTCATGATCCTCCTGCTTATCTCCAGGCAACCTTAGCAGTTCAAGTTTTAGCATCTCTTTGGCATTTGCAGCAGTTATGGTGCTGGAGAAAAAACGATTTGTATATCTAAAACAGAGAAAGAAAAAGGTTAGCTGACAATAGGTTTGCTTACCTTTTTTTTTTTTTTTTGCAGTAACATAGTTACATACACAGTCATATTCACACACACAATCACATTCACACACAGTCAGACAGTTACAGTCACACACAGCCAAAGTTACACACACAGGCATACACTCACCTGAGATTGAGTAGCATGGCGTTGCCATAGAGTGGGTTTTCCTCCACGTCAGTGAACTGCATCCTGACAGCTGCAGCCAAGGTTCCCTTCATTGCTTTAATCCCACGGTCCTCATCAGTCTCCCTTGTTAGGAATCTGTGGAGCACAGTGACGGCTGGAATAACATCTGCAGCCATGGCATCTGAAGAGCTGACTTTTCGAGTTAGCTCCTCGAATGGACCCAGGACAGATATCACCTTCTCTTGCAGCGTCCACTGGTGAGCCATCAGCATATCAGTTAGTCCATATTCAGACACGAATATTCCCAGAGCCTGTTTCTGCTCGATCAATGTCTGTATCATATAAAAGGTGCTGTTCCAGCGGGTCTGAACTTCTTGCTGGAGCCGCCTCGCGGGCTGGTTGACCTGTAATTGAATGTCCTTGAGACGGGAGCTGGCCAGAGCAGAATGTTTAAAATGTCCAACTATTTTGCAGCCAACTGCCATCGCATCAGCAACACTCCTCTGTGACAGAAGGCCCTCATGAACAACCAGCTGGAGAGTGTAAGCAGTACAAGGTAGGCTGGGCAGCTCTGCATTACTCATGGCCTTTATCTTGTGTTGTCCTGGAGCATGACATAGACGGACGTTGTTTCAGTATATCCCAGGTCTGAAGCATGATATCGAAAGCAGCTGCAATGGTTTGGCTGGTGTGCGAGCCCCTGAATGACTTTGCATGTAGTGTGATTTGATGACAAACAAACTCTTTATCAATCCACTGCGCCGTTAAACTGAGGAGTGACATCGGGGACACACTGCTTGTCCAAATGTCTGTAGTGAAACTTAAGGCTGAAACCTCCTGCATGAGGTTATGCACGTGTTTTTCTACCTCTTCCAAAAGTTTTGGCAACCTTTACGTCCATGATGTATGGGCAGCTGGGAATCTCATATCGCGGTTCGAGTATGCTGAGAAGACGGCGAAATCCTACGTTTGCCACGACCGACAGCCAGGGTGATAAATTGAGTCAAAGCCTCTGTTATTTTAACTGACCGTGGATTTTCTCTTGACATTTTTTGTCGCTTTTCCTAAACCTGAGTTAACCTGGACTGTTCTGGTCTTGCATTAGCCTTAGCAAACTGGGTGTATTCCAGCGCATAACCTGTCCTCTCCTTACCTCCCCTGGACACCTTATCAGTAAACAGTTTGCACTCGGCCTTGCTTCTGTCATCTTCAAAACTTTTGAAGAAAGTCCACACTGCTGACACCTTTTTAGCTAGCTACAGGAGCCGCCAATCTCACTCGCCTAACCCCCTAGCGACATGTCCCCCTAGTGGCCAATCTAAAAAATTACAACAGAAAGTACAGGCCACCCTCTGAATCATGAAATAAGTTGGTATTAGTTCATGGTATCGGTTAACTTTTATGAGTATGAGTACACACACATTTTATGGTATTGGCCCCGATACTCGATACCAGTATCGGTATCGGTGCATCCCTAGTGGTGACATGGCAGTACTAAAATTTGAAATGAGGTCAAGCTAACCT